TCTTTGCGCACTGAACACCTTGTACTTCTGGGCACTCCAGGTAGGTTGCAGTTCTGGAATATGACAGCACTGGAGGATAATGGGTTCCTGGTAGCTTCACATTTGATTCTTCTAAAGTCTTTTTTTCTCAACACGGTTCTTGCGACCCTGTTGACTATTTGCAACAAAACGTTTGATAGTTCTGTGATCATGCCCCAATATCTTAGCAATTTCAAGAGTGCTGCATCCCTCTGAAGTACTTTTTAAAATGTGTTACTTTTCAGAGTCAGTTAAATCAATTTTTTGGCCCATTTTGCCTGAGGAAAATCTGCCTAATAATTATACACACTTTGATATAGGGTGTTGAGCTCCTTAGGCCTAATCCTCCCTCATTACACAAATACACATCACCTGATATGCTTAAATTCCAATAAGCATTCCAGTTTATACAGCTTCGAGTTGGGAAATATGCATAATAATGATGATATGGTCAAAATACTGACTTGCCTAATAATTGTGCACACAGTGTATAATACCACCATACAACAATATTACACTTAATTATTATTATATTGCATGTGTGTGTAGAGTGCGTGTGCTAGCGTGTGTGTGTGTGTGTGTGTGTGTGTGTGCGTATCTCTTCACAGTCCCCGCTGTTCCATGAGCTGAATTTGTATCTGTTTTTTGTTTTTTATCGGATTCTACTGCTTGCATCAGTTACTTGATGTGGAATAGAGTTGTAGTCATGGCTCTATGCAGTACTGTGCGCCTCCCATAGTCTGTTCTGGACTTGGGGTTTTTGAAGAGACCTCTGGTGGCATGCCTTAGCTACTGTTGTATAAACATGTTTTGACCATGACAGTTTACAATCCAGGGTTACTCCAAGCAGTTTAGTCACCTCAACTTGCTCAATTTCCACATTATTTATTACAAGATTTAGTTGAGATGTAGGGTTTAAGTGAATGATTTGTCCCAATGCTTTTAGTTTTAGAAATATTTACGACTAATTTATTCCTTGCCACCCATTTTGAAACTAACTGCAGCTCTTTTGTTAAGTGATGCAGTCATTTCAATCGCTGTAGTAGCTGACGTGTATAGTGTTGAGTCATCTGCATACATAGACACAGTGGCTTTACTCAAAGCCAGTGGCATGTCATTAGTAAAGATTGAAAAAGTAAGGGGCCTAGACAGCAGCCTAACTGGCATACATATGCAGCATGTGAGTTTCAAGTTTGGGGAAGATAATTTTCACCATAAAAATGCACCTTTATAATAAAAGCATTACATGCATAATTGCATTTGCGGTCACTTTTGATCATGGTGTTTTCCCGCTAATGGAACATTCCGCTTATAGCCTACTGCCGTGTGTGCATTGCTGCTCTTATAATGTGAAGCAATAGCCTAATAGTTTATTAACATTTGAAGCTAAACGCAAAAGCATAATGTATGCACTCACTTAACTGTAAGTCGCTCTGGATAAGAGCGTCTGCTAAATGACTAAAATGTAATGTAAATGTAAAGGCATGGATTTTTTCAAGGGGCATTACACGAAGGGGATGCCGCCGGGAAATTCAAGGCATTATCAAGTGCTTGTCAAATTGTGAATGAGAGACTGATGAAGTGTGTACAAGAAACAGAAAAACTAAGTAGAGCTCATGTCTTTCATGCTACATTTTTCAAATCATCATTAGTCGCATGATGCAGCCTTAGAATGTAATAAAAATCTAAACATATAGGAGGACCTGTTTCTTTGTTAACCGCTCAACACAGAATAGCTGCTAAAATAAATAAATAAAATAAATACTTATTTTCCACCATAATTTGCAAATAAATTCATAAAAAATCCTACAATGTGATTTTCTGGATATTTTTTTCTCATTTTGTCTGTCATAGTTGACGTGTACCTATGATGAAATTTACAGGCCTCTCATCTTTTTAAGTGGGAGAACTTGCACAATTGGTGGCTGACTAAATACTTTTTCCCCCCCACTGTATAGCCAACCAATCAGCCTGTTACCAAGCGTGCTCGTCATCCTCACCAGGGTCTTGACCTGACTGCAGTTCAGCGTTGTAACCGACTTCAGTGGGGAAAATGCTCACCTTGGCTACTGGCACGCTGGAGAAGTGTGCTCTTCACAGATGAATCTCGGTTTCAACTGTACCGAGCAGATGGCAGACGTGTGGGTGAGCGGTTTGCTGATGTCAACATTGTGAACAGAGTGGCCCATGGTTGCGGTGGGTTGATGGTATGGGCAGGCATAAGCTATGCACAACGAACACAATTGCATTTTAATCGATGGCAATTTGAATGCACAGAGATACTGTGATGAGATCGTGAGGCCCATTGTCATGCCATTCATCTGACACAATGTTTCAGTATGATAATGCACGGCCCCATGTTGCAAGGATCTGTACACAATTCCTGGAAGCTGAAAATGTCCCAGTTCTTCCATGGCATGCATACTCACCAGACATGTCAGCCATTGAGCATGTTTGGGATGCTCTGGATCGATGTGTACGACAGCGTGTTCCAGTTCCCGCCAAATTCCAGCAACTTTCCACAGCCGTTGAAAAGGAGTGGAACAACATTCCACAATCAACATTCTGATGCACTCTTATGGAAAAGAGATGTGTCGCGCTGCATGAGGCAAATGGTGGTCACACCAGATACTGACTGGTTTTCTGATCCACACCGTTGCTTTTTTTAAAAATAAATAAAATAATAAATAATTGGTCATTTAGCAGACGCTCTTATCCAGAGCGACTTACAGGAGCAAAATAGGGTTAAGTGCCTTGCTCAAGGGCACATCGACAGATTATTCACCTAGTCGGCTCGGGGATTAGAACCAGTAACCGAAAGGTGTATCTGTATTCCCAGTCATGTGAAAACCATAGATTAGGGCCTAATGTATTTCAATTGACTGATTTCCTTATATGAACTGTAACTCAGTAACATCTTTGAAATTGTTACATGTTGCGTTTATTTTTGTTCAGTATATTTCTATGGTTGGTTGCGACTGTCAGTTTGCCTTTTGCAAATTTCAAAACACAATCCTGGGAAAAATGTAGTTTGGAAAGCAAATGCCTACTGCTGAAAAGAGAAGAGTATATAGAAACAAATCTCAACAACTCCAAATGTCTAACTAACAGCAGCACTGTTTTTCAAAGTAGCTCGGCGAGCGCATCGACCATCGCCTATGGCTTCGTCTCCATCATTAGGTGAGTCAGTGTGCCACTGGAAATGATCAATTATTTAAAAAACAAAGCCCCGGGGACTATGATTTGTTAATCTGGCCCTGTTCACGGGTTGAACTAGAACCAATAATTATAAAAACACATTTAAATAATCAAATTATTATTCAGTTTCTCGTTATTTAATATTTCCTTTAGACAAGAACAAAAAAAACGTTTATGACTTGTTTAATTTCAGATTCAAATCATATAAACGAGGAACGACCCTTTACTCGTTTTTTTTATCTTGTCATGTAGTAAGAAATATTAATTGGCCAAAACGTACACGGAACTCGGTGTCCTCAGATGTAGTTAAGGCCATGTTTCCATACGCAATAGTCTATGCTACACAATTACACACAGCAGACTATATCCAATAAAACTATACCTCATTACCTTGACACGGTCTCTGTTCAGTCTAACGTGACCCTGCACAATGGTCTTCAACGGGTTAACGAATGAGACACCAAAGCATTCTGGACATTCCTTGCAAACATCATTTTTCCTGCACTTTGGCTGTTATTGCATCAAGTGCTGTATCACAACAGCTGTTTGTCACTTGACTGTCATTCAGAAAATAATTTCCTGGATCAGATGATGTGTGAAACTATCACAACGTAATTAAAACAGCTGGACATCAAATGCGCATCCAACAAGTATTTATTGAAGAACCACGTTTAATGAATATCGATTTTGGTTTTAAGTATTTAGTAAAGACTATATCAGTTAGAAGCATTCGATTTTGCAATCACATACATTTTGGATTTGTGTAACCATGAAAACTATATTCACGCCGTAACAGGAAACACTAAATGTTACGTAGGCCTAGTTACAGTGCATTTCCAAAATCGGCATCCATAACAACTGTCCGAGCAAGATCCAGGATTCTTACCGGGTTCAAGTTCAATGTCTAATTTACCTGATAAATGCTTAATATATGATATAACAACAAACACTGCCATAAATGCAAGGTAAGAAATGTAGTGTTTTATGTCACACGATTTTGGACAAATCTGTCAAGACACCAAGAGAAAGGGTTAAAAAGAGTTGAATTTTATTGAATGTTCCTTATATCAATTACTTATCAACAGCTGTATCTGTAAGTTGTCCACCGCAGGAAATCCTCACTGGTACTCTAACCTATAGAAAGACCCTTAGGCCATGTCAGAGGTGTTACTGCGTTGTAGCTGTCAAATCAGCAAGCGTTTCCCGGGAGTTATTCCTATCGCGGACATTGCCATTCGATGCACCGAGTCGCATTAGTAGAAAGCTCATGCATCCGTTTTACAAGTTTGAACATTGGAATGTGTGTTGTAATACACAGTACACCTCGATCAGGCTGATATCAATCCTTATTCTTTCATTTAATGATTTTCAATTTGAGTGTCATTATTTCTATGTAGCTACACTTCCTCTTTCTGAACTTCTAACACAGGTAGGATGGGTGTGGCTTTGTGACAATGACCACAAGAGCAATGCAATTACACCTCTGACCTTGCTTAAACAAAAACAATGATTTGCTATGGAGTTCTGATTTAATCTAGACCCTAGTTTTTGTTCAGTTACCTTGGGGTGGACAAATTAACATAAGGCTTTACACAAGGCTAAGATTTTTAATACAAATCCAATGAACCCCACATCTCAGTTGGATCTACCCAGCAAACGCAAATGTTCCTACAACGTTGGGAAGCTTAATATTCAAATGGAGACTCAATTTGGTGTCCAGAGAATGTTAGCAGGACAACATTCCATGACTGACTTATGTTGGAACCCCCTGCCATCCATCCTCTTTATCTTTCATGAATTTTTCGCTCATTTGGGAGTAAATCTACTCCTTTTGCAATCTTGTCCAGAATCTCAGACTCTGCCTTCATTTTCTTCAACCCTACGATCCGATCCTCGAAGCCTGGCATGCGTTCGTCCCCCTCTGTGCGAATGAGTATCTCAATGTATTCTATAGTGGAGAGAGAGCTTGGATTCAGTGCAACTTCATTAAGTCTCTTGAGACAGTCAGAAGACTGCTTGATCAAATTCATCAGCGCGTCCTCGATCTTGTGAAACTCATCCTCAAGCTTACCCAGCATCTCCTGGGTTGACATATACTTGCCCCACGCCTTCATGAAGTTGTTCTTCAGCTCTTGAATAGTCTTTTTCTCTGTCTTTGTTACATATGTCAACAAGGCTTTTTCCCTGTCGTGGTCACTGGAAGAGCATTTTCCTGGACATACGGTACAGTTGCCATCATCATCCATCACGGCACAACTTTTGATGTCATCCTCATTTGGGAGGAAGCAGCAGGTGTGACATGTTAAATTGCATACGTTGCAGTTTGTCGCAAAGTCCTGGGATAATTTGCTTCTCTTCACCTGCAGCACATTTACCTCGGTCTCAAAATCTTTGTTCTGTTTCATGTTCTCGTTCTCGTTCTCCAGACACTGTTTTAAGCTTTTGATCTCACTTAGCTTTGACAGACCTGCTGTGATCTGAGGGGTCAGGCGTGTCATGGTCTTCTCTAGAAGCTCACGTTCTTCCAGCACTTTCTTTGTCAGGGTCAGATCTTTGCTCTCAATGCTTTCCAGTGCTTGGAAAAATTTCTTCATCTCCTTGAAAGTTGACTTCCATTGCTCTGGACACAGTGCCTTAAGATCATCATCATCATCATCATCTGTATCGTCCTCTTCACTGCTGCTCTCCATCTGCTTTGTGAACAGAATTGAACTGTTGAATTTGAAATGGGTTGGTTGCCCCTTCTTGTTTTTCTTACAGGGCAGATTTGCAGCTTTGATGGCCTCTGGCGCCGGTATCTGCTTCCCATCAACAAATGTCACAAGCATCAGGATGTTTTCAGCAACATCCTTTCCAAAGATGGACAGGATGGAATCAAAGATGGATCTCTGGGAAGGACTGAGACGAACAAGTGGTGCCTGCACTACAAAGCAGACTGCATCAATGTGATCAATCCCTAAAGGATTACACAAGAAATCCTTCACCATCTGGATGAGCAATTTCTCCTGAGCCATTCCTCTGGTGTCTCCGAACCCTGGTGTGTCAACGATAGTCAGAGAATAAGGAATCTGGAAGCCTGGCTGGTTGTAGACCTCGTATGATGTCACAACCATAGTCTGGCTCTCAGCCTGTGACTTGTTGGTCACCTCATGGATGAGCTTAAAGCGGTAACAGTCTTCCCACTTTACCCCGAGAATATAGTTTATCATGACATTGACCAGAGTTGTTTTTCCTGCACCTGTGGCCCCCAGTAGCAATATCACCTTGTTATTCCCTTGCTCAACCTTCTTCCCAAATATGTACTGGCCAAAACTTTCATTTACACCAAACTTCTGTTCCAGATTCAGCCAGTGGATTGAGGGGTTGCCCTTTTCCACCTTCTGGGATTTTTTGAGGAATTCCTCACTTTTTGCTCCGGTTGATTTGCTCGTCTTCGGTTGGGCATCAGAGACCCTAATGGTAGTCAGCACAGTCTCAGGACTAGGTAGACTCTTCCCTGCTTCGCCACAGTTAGCAGAGACCCTGATGCTGTATGCAGTGTCAGCCTCTAGTCCTTCCAGTGTACTCTCTATAGTGGTGGTGTTGATTGTATGCCACATCTGATTGTCTATAGCCTTTACACTCCGTCTGTATTCAACCACATAACCAATGACTAAAACATTGTCTCCAACCATGGTAGGAATGTCCCAGTTCACTCTGATACGTCCCGATTCTATGCTCTTCTCTGTGGGTGGTCCAGGGGGGCTACATGAACGGGTCCTGAAGTATTCTGTCCAGTCACTGGAGAGGCTCACACCAGGTCTACACACCGCTTTGCAGCTAAAGCGGTACTTTTTGTAAGGGTCCAGATTACGGATGGTGACCTGGTTAGTTGTAGCATCAGGTTTGACCTCTGTCCACTCAGAGTCAGCCTGCTCAGCCTGGTACAAAACCTGGTATGACTCTACAGAGGTAACACCAAGGTTGGGAGGGTTGACTTGCAAGTGGACACAGTCATGCTCCAGACTCTTGATGGTGGGGACACCTGGCTTTGATGGCAGCTCAAACTGTGGACTCAAAAGTGTCCCTCTTTCGTAGACATGGATGGACGCAGTGAGGAGTTTGTTTGGACTTGATGCAATGCAGAATGCAAGATTCTCTCTGCCTTTGTTTGACTCTTTGAAGTCTAGGAACAGATGTATGGTTTGCCTGGTTAGGGTCATTACCTCTCCCGAGCGAAACCACTTTTCTGCTGCAGATTTCCAAGCTGCGTTGGGGTAGTAAGGCATCAGTGAAAAATCACTCTTAGATTCTTCCATTAAGTAGTTCTCCAAGACCACCACATACTCTTCTTTCTCCTTCAAATAGGATAATGCAAAACACACTACATAATCATTAGCTTGATCAAGCACTATTCCGTCCAATTCATTGCTTGAGTACACAACTTGTACCTCTTTCATTACGTCAAGGTAAGAGCTGACAACAGTCATCTCTCTCTCTCTGTCGTCCAGGTATGCGATCATAAGGTCATTCTGGAATGGAGAACGTTCTTTGCTGTTGAGCATTTTTATCAGCTCTTCCTCTTCCATTCACAGCGTGTTCTCCGTTCTCCCCTAGCAGACGTGGCAGGCCAGTATACACCCTGATGGCATCTTCAAATGTGACAGGGTTGTTTTCTAGTGCAAAATCACCATGGAAAGTGCAGTTGAATTTATTGGCCTCCCTCTTCTCTTCCTCACTCATCTTCAACTTTGCCTCCGCTTCTATTGATATTTGAGGGATCTTTTTTATTATGACCTGCAGGTTTCCCTGGATGTCCTGGTGGTTTTCTCCTGAGGAAACCTCTTGGTCAAAAACGAAAAAGGCCTGCGCTCCGTAGAGCAGGGCAGTCACTACATGGGTTGCAGAGCCCTCTTGTAAGACATTACAGTGTTTCACATTTCCTGCCCCCAGGTGGTCCATGGTCAGCTGCTCGAAGCGAGTGGTGGTACGGTACTGCAGAGAAACCCTAGACTGACGCTTTGAGGTCTTTTTGTCATGTAGGAATTCAGCAGAACCTTTTACACTGACTAAGCCGCATAGGAAGCTGGCTTCCAGAGATGCAGAGACATTCAAAGCCTCCGACTTGTGTTCAGTTGAGTCTGTAGCAAGGACTTTGAATTCTGTGTTTGGTTGTGGAGAGACATTTCTTTGTTTCTGCAGCATCTCAGCATCCCAGAGTGTGATACCTTTGATGAAGGAGAAAAACAAGGACCAAGAATATATAATATGGGAAAAATCTATTTCTTACATGATAGTACTGTTATTCAGATTACCTTTGTGAACATATTGTCTCTGTGTTACTGTATGCAACAATGAGAGTTAAATATTCTTCTCAGTTTGCAGGGATTAAAGTTATTGCATGTTGTCCTTAAAGGTACAATCAGCAGTTCCTTATCTGATAAAATAAATACATATATTAACTCAGCAGGAGACTCAACAGGGTCATACTTTCAATCTTTTGCTTAGACCCGAGATTTATACCTGTGGTCTAAAATGGCTAGCTGCTAGCTTTTCTCATAGGCCAACCTGGCACAATTAGCCACTATGCTGAGGACGACCACCTGAGCAAAATTATATCCGTTAACAGAATAACGAATCAACCTATCAAAGACCTTACATGGTAGAGCCACCATCCAATCTCATTTGTTAAACAGGTCAAGTTGGCCACCAAAGGGAGATTCTAAAACCTCCAACTTCAAGGTTTATATACAGTGCCCTCCACAATTATTGGCACCCCTGTTTAAGATGTGGTCGAGGTCTTCCAAAAATTATCCATTTTTTTTAAACAACATAGAACCCAAATGCAAAAAAAGAGAAAAATCCAACCTTTTATTTAAGTACATTACTTTGGTGTAAAAAAAAAAATCACACATTTAGAAAAAAAAAAACTTGAAATCATGTGTCCCACAATTATTGGCACCCCTGATGTTAATACTTTGTACAACCCCCTTTTGCCAACAAGACAGCACTTAATCTCCTCCTATAACATTTCACAAGATTGGAGAACACAGAGAGAGGGATCTTTGACCATTCTTCTTTGCACAATCTTTCTAGATCATCCAGTGTCCTGGGTCCTCTCTTATGCACTCTCCTCTTTAGCTCGCCCCACAGGTTTTCGATTGGGTTGAGGTCTGGGGACTGAGATGGCCATGGGAGGACCTTGAGTTTGTGACTGCTGAACCATTTTTGTGTAGATTTTGCCACATGTTTTGGATCATTATCCTGCTGAAAGACCCAATGACGACCCATCTTCAGCTTTCTGGCAGAGGCCATCAGGTTTTTATTTAAAATGTCCTGGTAGTTCAAAGCGTTCATAATGCCATGCACCCTAACAAGGTTCCCAGGGCCTTTGGAAGAGAAACAGGCCCACAGCATCACAGATCCTCCACCATATTTCACGGTGGGCATGAGGTGCTTTTCGGCATACTCATCTTTTGTTTTACGCCAGACCCACTTAGAGTGTTTGTTGCTAAAAAGCTCAATCTTAGTCTCATCTGACCAAAGCACACGATCCCAGTTGAAGTCCCAGTGCCAATTAGCAAACTCCAGACGTTTACGTTTGTGAGTGTTAGTGAGAAAAGGCTTTTTCCTTGCATGCCTCCCAAACAGCTTGTTGGCATGTAGAGAGAGTCTGATGGTTGTTTTGGAGACTTTGTGACCCCAAGATGCCACTCTTTGATGCAATTCTGTGACAGTGAGCTTAGGACTTTTTTTTACTTCTCTTACCATCCTCCTCACTGTGCGTTGTGGCAAGATAAACTTGGGACCTCTTCCAGCCTTGTTTGTCACTGTTCCAGTTGTTTTAAACTTCTTAATGATTCCTCTGACTGTAGATACGGGCAAGTTAAGGCGAGTGGCTATTTTCTTGTAGCCATTGCCTGACTTATGAAGGTCGACACAAATCTGCCTTACTTGAATGGTGTGTTCTCTTGTCTTTGCCATGTTGACAAATGGGTAAGAGAATTAGGCCTCTGTGTCACATCATATTTATACCCCAGGGAAACAGGAAGTCATGAATTACTAATTAAAAGTTCCTAGATACCCTGACCAACTTTAGCAACTACAGAAAAATATATATTTTTAAAAATCAATTAAAATTTTCAGTGGAATTGTTAGGGGTGTTAATAATTGTGGGACACATGATTTCAAGTTTTTTTTTTTTTTATGTGTGATTTTTTTTTTACCACCAAAGTAATGAACTTAAATAAAAGGTTGGATTTTTCTCTTTTTTTGCATTTGGGTTCTATGTTGTTTAAAAAAAAAGGAGAATTTTTGGAAGTCCTCGACCACATCTTAAACAGGGGTGCCAATAATAGTGGAGGGCACTGTATATTTGTATTTTTGTATATATATTTTTTATTTTTTTCTGGGGGTTTTAAGGTTTATATTGTTAGCCGTGCCTCAGTTTAAAGTGCAGTGTGGCAAAATATAGTGCCTTCAGAAAGTATTCACACTTGACTTTTTCCACATTTTGTTGTGTTACAGCCTGAATTTAAAATTGATTAAAGATGTTGTCACTGTATACCCCATAATGTCAAAAGTGGAATTACGTTTTTAGAGATTTTTACAAATTAATAAAAAATGAAACGCTGACTGTCTTGAGTCAATAAGTATTATTATGGCAAGCCTAAATAAGTTCAGGAGCAAAAATGTGTGCAATAATAGTGTTTAACATGATAGTTGAATGACTACCTCATCTCTGTACCCCACACATACAATTATCTGTAAGGTCCCTCAGTCGAGCAGTGCATTTCAAACACAGATTCAACCACAAAGACCAGGGAGGTTTTCCAATGCCTCGCAAAGGGCATTGTAAAAAATGGCGCCGGAGGAGATGGCTGCCGTTTTACGGGCTCCTGACCAATTGTGCTATTTTGTGTGTTTTTTGTGTGTTATTTGTAACTTATTATAAACTTAACTTGGATACATAATGTTTCTGCCACCGTCTATTATGACCGAAAATAGCTTCTGGATATCAGGACAGCGATTACTCACCTGGTAAGGGACAAAGATTTTTTTTCTTGAACGAATCGGACGCAAAGGATTTTCTTCAGACACCAGACAATGCCCAAATCCCCGTCATTCGCATGAGAAGGAGACAGAGATATTGGGGACGTACAGTGAGGAAAAAAAGTATTTGATCCCCTGCTGATTTTTGTATGTTTGCCCACTGACAAAGACATGATCAGTCTATAATTTTAATGGTAGGTGTTACCTTTTTCCCTCACTGTAGGTCGGGGTGCCTTGTAAGGATCCGACGGTGAGTGTGTAATCTGCCTCTACCATCAGTCCTATTAGCCAATGTAAAATCATTGGATAACAAAATAGACAAACTAAGATCACGGATATCCTACCAATGGGACATTAAAAACTGTAATATCTTATGTTTCACCGAGTCGTGGCTGAACGATGACATGGATAACATACATCTCGAAGTTTTGCTCGCCTGAGGTAGAGTATATCATGATAAACTGTAGCAGTGGCGGCTCCTGAAAAAATTCTCAGGAGGGGCAATTTTTCTGATGATTTAGGTGACCTACACACATTTTAAAAAAGATATGTCCAGCAACAACATGAAGACAGGGGCAGCATATAAGTCAATACCAGAAGCATTTATTGACTGATCTGGGGAGATGGATTCCAGTTTCTGTGACAGATTATAAATAATCTCTGATGCCTTTGTTATATTAGCTTTTGGTTGAATGTACTGTCGTAGTAAATATATAATGTTATAGCTTGGTCTGACTAAAATCTTGTGCATGACCCATTTTGTGTTGGGCGTTTGTTTTCAATCAATGCTGTTCCTATCCTATAACAATGGACAAAAGAGTCCTATCTTGTCAGCCTTGTCAGCAGGTGGCCAAGGACAACACCCACGCCATAGGTCTCTCAGTTCTTCCAACTCACGAGTTCTTGCTCTGAGGACACACACACACACACACACACACACACACATCATCACTGATAACACACACACACACACACATCATCACTGTTAAACACACACACACACACACACAAAAATCCCCTCTCTTTAGGCTGAACATTTGAAGACAGAGAACCCGACTCAGAGCCAATGCAACAGTGGAGGGGACCTCGCCCAACTCATCAGGACCAATCAGAAGATCAGAACTACTAGATTCAACCTACATCATTTATTGTATAAAATGTCTGCACACAATGTTTTCGGGGCTCTCTTCAGATAGCTCCCTAAGAGTTTCACGAACGAGTCCGTGCACGCGATTCCAGATATCTTTACCTCTGAATAAACTGCCTTTATTATACCATATCCACCCTGTCCAAAGTCTCTACTTGGTCTCAGTTCTCCAGTAAACTTGTGATTATCAACAGTACACAACGGTAACAAACAATTGGGGGAACTCACGGGGCAGATAGTAAGGTCGCAGTGACACAGAAAGCAGTTCAATGTCGGGGGTACAGAGTCGCTCTCTTACCAGGATCGATTTTCCCTGTGACTGTCAGATCGCGGTCCGCTCTGACCAGGGTGAAGCCGGCCGGCTCCACTTCTCTGTCCGGGACTCTGTCATCCAGCCAAGTCTCCCAGCTGTATTGGATTCCGCTGCCAGCAGCGTTTTCATTATTTAGTCCGTTCGTAGCGGGTATGTACACGATCAACAAGATCAGTCCAAAACCCACCACTGGAAATCCATGGTTGGCAGAATGTTTGTAAACTAAGTGTACAAATTAAAAACATAAAATAACGCCACTAAGTGTACAAATTAAAAACATAAGATAACGCCACACTGCAGGTCGCAACAGAGACGCTGCTAGCCGCTATTTTCTTAGTTACGTTCATGGTTACGTCACGTGTGACGAAAGCGCGTAAGTGCAAGCCCACAGACACCCATAGAGATTGTATTGAAAGCTTTGAAATTTGAAAAAAATAGATTTTACATGGGAGTCTATGACAGACTTCTGGGCGATTTTCAACCTGACTGAAATCGCCCCAAAAACGGGCGGGGCCATTTGAAGCACGACTTTAGCCTGATTTGACATTTAGTGGCAGTCAGATCAGATTAGAACACTGATAACTACTGTTGCCGTGATATAATTGATTAGAAAAAAAATCCCTTCCTTCTCCCGTTTGGCAGTGCGTCGCCCATATCGCCCTATTGAACACACCGCCCCTGAACTGTAGACCA